GTAAACCTGAAATATTGATGATGGCACCATGTTGTTCATTGAAAGCTTCATGAATAGGTGCTTATTCAACACATCTAATTCTGAATATTGTATGCAGAGCAGGGTCATCCCTTGCATTAGTAGCACATTCATAAATCTCATGAATTCTATCAACGGCAATATCGCGTGCAGCGCGATACTGTTTCAATTGCTTTGCTGACATAGTTACTAGAATTATGTCGAGCAGTGTATGAGAAATCACGGAAATTCCCAAAAGAGATTCCTTCAAAAAATCTACGAGATTATTTTCAAATGAATCACTAAACAATATGTTTATAAAAACATATCTTCCGGGCAGATGAAATTGTGAGAGAGGCACACGACCTCAAGTTGGAAAAAAAATAGAGCAAAAACAAGGGGATTCCAACTTGAATGGTGTTTTGTTGAGAGAATATTTGTGAAATAAATTCAAGGTCAACAAAAGTATGTTGAAGAGAACAATAAATTTATGTTGAAGAGAACAGTAAATGTATGTTGAAGAGAACAATAAATTTATTAATTCGAAACACCTGCAAATCAAATATTCACCATAACATCCGGCTCGAAGGACCATAAATGTTAGGTTTTGAATAAGGTGTGGTTTTTAGATTTAAAATTTGACTGGTTCAAGACTTGTCAAAAAAGGTCGAATAGAGATGGACTCACCTGGAATCTTCCCTGATCCGATCTTCTTCGGGGTTGCAACCACCTTATCCGCTGATCAAAGAGTTTGTGGACTGTATGAAGGGCTGGCTGTGTTGTACACTAGATTTGCTTTGCATTTGTTCGATAAAGAGTCACTTATACACAGTGAATGTAATGGATACAGAGAGCACGCGTATTTCGCTGAATATCAATGCGACTATATTTTCTCGGCATGTCCGTCTCCAAACCAGCTTTGACAGTCACAAAAAATATGAGACAAAAAACGCCTTCGAATTAGAAGAAGGAAAATATAGAAACACTATACAGAGTGATAGTGAATATTTAATTTCATGGCAAATATTAATCCCTAATAATAATATGAGGAAAATTATGAAGAACTAATTAATGAGGAAAAAAAAAATATATATTTATAATATTTATGCTGCTAACTTAACCTACAGTTAACGTGGGGCGTTAACATATGTAACATGCGGAAAAGAGTTAATATCTTTGTTCTCTTATCCCAACAGTTTTTAGATAATATCAAAAAGCGGACAAAATGCATGGTTTCGAGACACGATATCCCTCTCATCAGCAAGAGCTCAATCAACCTTTCAAAAAACCTAACGAAACCATAGAAGTGACTGGTACTCCGGCAAAAAAAGAATTCAACCAACCGGATCCAGAGGTTTTACATGAGCACGACAACTTTTATCATACTACGAAAAGTTTGCTGGTTCTTTTCCAGATTATGGGTGTGATGCCGATAGAGAGAGAGGTCGGAAAAACAACTTACAGGTGCGGGATCATGCATTCTTCATAACGAACTAATAGTACATTATATACCGCGGGACTGAAGTAGTACATTTAATCCTGAAGGTAAAGTTTATGGCCCGACCGCAGGGCCATAATTTACCTGAAGGATTAAATGTACTTCAGTCGCAAGGTATATACGATACTTTTCGTACTTCCGGTATGATTTTATTAATTATTTCAATAATTTCAATCAGTTTTTTCTCTCTTCAACTCATTTAATAAACTGTCTTTAAAATAAGTTACCATAGTAACATTGCGTTGTGACAGTTATAATTTAGAAACATTGTCATTACTAGTGTCATTGTAAAGAAACATTGTTATTGATAATTATTGGTATCATGAGTGAAGAAGGTGTATCTGATATTGATAAAAGAGCAGCCGAAGTAGGTGAAGAATTGTTACCACCGAAATCTAGAAAACTATACGAGCAGCAGTACGATGCTTTTAAAAAGTGGTGCCGCTTAAAAAATGTGAGACAACCTACTGAAAATGCGCTGTTAGTCTACTTCGATGATAAATCAAAAGCGGTTTGTGCCTCAACTCTCTGGGCACATTACTCAATGCTGAAATCGGTTATTAACATTAGAGAAGATATTGATATAAGTAAATTTCCAAAATTATTAGCTTTTTTGAAGAGAAGAAATGAGGGATTTAAGCCAAAGAAGTCAAGAATTCTCACGTCTGAGCAGGTAGATCAGTTCTTACGGGAGGCTCCGGATGATAAATATTTAATGCTTAAGGTAAATTTGGAAATTTGTTTATATTCAGAAATTTTAAGAAATCAATTTTTTTGTAGGTTGCACTTATTTTGGGCGTTGAGGGAGCTTGTCGTGGAAAAGAGTTGGTTGATTTAGAAATCGACGATGTGAGAGATTTGGGCGATTCCTTCCTAATTGCGATTAGAAACACCAAAAATAAAATTGACCGAAATTTTGTGATCAAAAATTCAGAAAACAGTGCCATCAGTTTTGTGGCGATATTTCGGAAATATGTGGCATTGCGAAAGACAGGGACAACTCATTCAAAATTTTTTGTTCAATACATCAACAAAGAATGTACTACGCGAGTAGTAGGAAAAAACATGTTTGGTACATTTCCACGGCAAATAGCAGCTTTCTTGAAATTAGAAAATGCGACGTCTTATACGGGACATTGTTTTAGACGCACATCTGCGTCTTTGTTAGCTGATTCGGGAGCAACAATAGACGTGCTGAAGAGACATGGAGGATGGAAATCCTCCAACGTGGCCGAGGGATATATTGAATCGTCTATTAAAAATAAACAAAAAATTTCAGATAAAATATTTGGTCAAGTCGCCGATTCGTCCACTATAGTTATGCCACATTCCTCATTCTCGCTTCCTGTTTCCGCAGGATCTTCGAAACAAACACCAGTTCAATATGAAAAGGACCTATCTGTTACTCGTCAGTTACCTGCTGCATTAACCCAGGAAAGACTGGTCAATATGACGAACTGTCACAATATTAATTTGAATATTAACGTTAATTACCATTCTAATTAATTATATTTTTCAATAAAATATCCCTTAAATTCGTTTGTTTGTGATTTAATCGTTCCGGGAGTTTCGTCAATATTTAATCCCGGAGGGATTAAATGTGACACTTTAGTAACTGTCACAAGGGAGTGAAGTTGTCACTTTAGGCCCGGAAGTACGAAAACATGTTTTATTTGCAATTTTTTATTTCGTATTTCGTGCACACAATCCTAGAAGAGTTTTTTTCCAGCAGATGGTTCTCTATTACAAATATCTGGGCTTACTTCATATTTTCTGTGGAAACGATCTTCGTTAGTATCATCTTCAAGGAGAGGCTAACACTGATTTTGCAACCTGGAAAGAGATTCGACGAGTACATCTACGCCATCATTTTTCTGAGCATTCTGATACCCCACTTTCTTCTACCGATTGGGGCTTGGACCAATGGGTCAGAGGTTGCCAAATTCAAGAACATGTGGACCAAATTTCAAGTGAGTACTTGCTTTCACAATATTGGGAAAAACACAACCATAATAGTATGAAAATATATATTCTTTCGGCAACAGTTTTGAGTTGAATTAATACGGTGATACATATAACATAAGACTTCATTTGTCTTCATCACTTCAATTCAAGAATCGATATAACTTCATCAAGAATCTCTTTGCTTTATTTGGAACCAAACCTTGGATTCTGGAGATAATGGTTTCAATATCACCAATGTCCTTATCCTGTTAGTTGGACGTTTTGATATATTGAAACCGTCACTCGATGGACATTTTGCAATTGAATCCTTAGCAACATCACTGATGGCAGATAAAAGATACTGCAAGTTTGAAGTAGTCCAGATCTCAATCATTTTCAATACAACAATTTTGACTCTATTGTTCTTTCTATCACACGTTAACTCTATCTGTTTTTTTGGGAGACTTTCCCAGTATATGGGTCACTACAGTTTCTTCATTGCGATATCTCTACTCTTCTAAATCCAGTTTCCTGGATTCCCGGACAAGTTCTCCATTAACTTATTATATTCTGGAGTACCATCTATGGTTTAAACGACTGTCTCTGCTTTCCTGTGGCATTGTCTACATGGTTTCCTTGTTTCATTGAGATGTCGTCTGACAGAGATAGTTCTTCTGGGAATGTTTTCGTATGTAGCTGTCTAGCTTTCATTCCCCAGTATAGTCTGTGTTCTTGTTTAACCTGTGCTAAAACTTATTCTTTGGATGCATTCTCCAATCAATGACTTTGCTGTGGGTCGTATTCTTCAATTCTTTGCCTCCCTCCTATACCATCAATCAATCAATATGATGCTGGGGTAGCAACCGGGTGGGCCCGATTCCCAACCCCTCTCACAAGACTCCCATAGGGATGACTGCCGGTCATCTTTCTTTCGACTCATACAGACAGCACCCCAGGGAGAAATGGAGGATTTGGATACGATAAATCAGCGCGCTAGAACCATCTCCGTTATGTAACGGCAGATTCTCCTGCTACCATTTTATTATACCAATGGTGAGGCCGTCTGATAAGACAGACTACTGGCTCTGCTGTGTCAGTGCCCGAGCAGAAACGCTGCTCACCCGCCGAGGCAGGCAAGATATCCTACCACTTGACCCATAGTGGGATTCTTCTTCACCTCCTCTACAGTAGTCCGGTGGTGTTTTTTGGAAACCCCTGCTCCCTGGAGTCCAACCCAATTGGTGAGGCATCAGGCCGTATGTACGACCTGATGGGGATATCCTCATCACCCCAGGTACCCATGTCAACAAGATTCCTCTTGTCACGTTTGATGGGTCGCCGTCGCAAGAGGCTTTGGCCTGATTGCTACTCATGTTGACAAGAATCCTCTCGTCCCGTTGAATGATTGATCGTTCGAGGACTTTTACACGTTCTTCTACCTCGTTTACAGGAGAGGATCAGGCTTTGCCTACGATGACTGGAGGTAGGATCGCTTGGGGCTGCCTCCTCCCTGTCGAACTGAGGCACGAGGTACATCAAGTTCCGCCCCATACCAGTACAGATGTTACCTTTGGCCTCAACCAGCGTTACTTTCATTTATATCAATTCTTGTTCCAAGTACAAATACTTCATAGTGACCGGCACGCCAGTGATCTTCCGCAACCTAGGAGCCATCACCTACACGCTCTGCGTAGTCAGCTGGGTAGTAGGCATAGTGGTGATGCTGGCCCAGTACTACCTGCAGCCAGACATGCTCATGTGGCACACTTTCGGCTACTACCACATCCTGGCCATGCTGAATTGCCTGTGCGCCCTGTGGTACATCAATTGCACCGCCAAAGGTAGAGCTGCCGGTTGGTTGGCAGAGAACTTGCACAACGCTCTGCAGTCTTCAGATCCGGCCAGTCGGCTGGCCGAATACAGGGATCTGTGGGTGGATTTGTCGCATATGATGCAGCAGCTCGGTGAGTGTGATGCTATGAGGATTCTTCAACTCCCTCTGCATGCATGAAATAAGAATATATAGGGTGTCCCAGAATAACGTTCGTATACTTCGGGAGGGGTAATTCTGCATATATGAAGAAAGAATTAATATTATCATCAACATGTGTTTTGAAGGTAGATCCTTGAATGCAGTTTTCTTCAATTACCTTTGTTATCGATCTTACAAATCGTTTCGTAGTACGGAAAACATGATTTGATATACAAGGAGGTGCGAAACTCGTAACTGATGTTATAAAAAAGTGTTTTATTTCAAGATTTATCTCATTTCTACTACCTGAATAGGATTCTTCGAACACTTTTACATGAAAATAAATTTTGATGACTGCATTCAGTGCAATAATCAATCACTATAACAACACGATTGACTTTGAGAACTTCAAATTATTTTCCGCCGAATATCCCTCGGACATTGTCAAATGCCTCATTATTTTATGAAAAATGTCTCAAGCTCCTTGCTTGGTAAGCCTATAGCCTACAGCTTCAAGCTAGTATCAAGGAACGACCTTTCGATTGTCATAAAATTATCTCGTCTATTATCAATGGCCTAGGGATATTACTACTGAAAATAAATTCCGATAAATGCATTCAGTGCAATTATCAATCACTATGACAACACGATCGACTTTGACAACTCCAAATTATTTTCCGCCAAATATCTTTCGGACATATCAAATGCCTTATAATTTCATGAGCCATTTACTTGGAACGAGCTTCCGACTGCCATAATATTATCTCGTCTATTATCAATGTCCTAGGGATACTACTACTGAAAAATATATTCTTGTTAAAATGCCGTTCAACAAACCGTTTTCGAGAAAAGTGTAATTTTTGATTTTGATGTCATGAAAAAATCACAATGAGCGTTTGTTCTCATAATAAAAGACTTGATAATTGAAATTTCACATTTCCAGTCAGTCTTGTTTTATTAGAGTTGATCGTGATTTTAGTTTTTTGAGGAGATATCCACATTGGAAATTGATTAAATTTCACAAACTTATTTGCTAGGTGAACTTTTTTGGACATGAAAATGACACTTTTCTTGAAAACGGTTCGTTTTTCGGCATTCTAAACTGAATACCTTCTTTACATAAAAGTGTTCGAGTACTATATCTTGGTAGAAGAAATGAGATAAACTTTGAACCAAAAAGAGTTTGGGCATTTTCATACCATTATTGGTTACAAGTTTCACACCTTCCTGAACATTGAATTATGGAACATTTTTTCTAGTTTTCATCTGAAAAATTACCTTCCGGAGTATATACGCACAATATTCTGGGACACCCTGTATACTGTTATAGAAACGTATGAGAGTAGCATATTTCATGTGATGTTTTTTTGCAAACGACACCAAAGTCGTCCATTTTAATACACAAATCAGCTCTTGAATTGACGTTTCTATTACTGACACAAACAGGTATGTTGCTATAGGCAAGACATTTAGTTCCTATGAGCTAAAGTTGAACTTTATCTCCTGATTTGGCATTTCATACGCATGCTGGAGATATAATCACATCATATCATAGTTGAGTATTTTTTTATCAGGAAAGCCTTCAAGATTCACATACTTGCTTGATCTGTATTTTATTCGTTATTCTCGGGATGGATAACTTGTTTTTATTTAATCACGGCCAGCAATAGTTTTTTGTCTCAAACGACGATATTGTTTACCTTCATTTGATTATCGAGCCAAACACAGCGGAGTATGGAGAGAAATAAATAACCGCTATTATTATTGTTGATATGCTCACTGACCTCACTAACATTTTCACGTAATTTTCCTATACCTGGCACTGGCGCGGTATTTGCTATTAGAGCACCTGGTCCATACACAAATATGTCACTCTGTAGTTGTAATTATATTGAAACGACAATTCGAACAACCTTGAAAATCGAATAAACCTGATTTGTTGATGCATATTCATTTGATTTAATTCTATCGGTTGCAGAAAAAATTGCATGTTTCATTCGGATGAAAAATGACTTTGTTTGACTCGCAAATGTTGCTTTCGCCCGGCTTCGCTATTTACTATTATTTTTTTTATTGCAGGAAAAGCCTACAGTGGGATGTACGGTATGTACTGCGTCCTTATCCTTCTGACTACCATCGTGGCCAGCTATGGATGCTTGACTGAGATTTTAGACCATGGTCTGTCGTTCAAGGAAGCAGGACTTTTCCTTATATCCTTCTATTGCATGACTTTGTTGTACATTATTTGCAACGAAGCGCATTATGCTTCACATAAGATGGGACCAGAATTCAGAGAAAGGCTTCTGAATGTCAATATAGGTAAAGCATAGTATATATTTTGGGAATTAGTACAGCTTTTACCGAAAGTATATACATATATCGATTGTATATCGACTTTGTTCATTTTTTCCTCCATATTCAAGGTGTTGTAGACATCAGAACTAGACAAGAAGTGCATATGTTTTTGACAGCAATAGACAAAAATCCACCCATCATGAATTTAAATGGATATGCTAATATCAATAGGAAACTGATAACATCGGTTAGTATACTATGATTTTTCAATTCGTATTTCTCATTGTGTCTTCCCAGGTTGACCAATTTTGTTATTTTTCAGACAGTGACGTCCATGGCAACGTACCTGGTAATGCTGATGCAGTTTCGTCTGTCTCTAATGAGGAATGCAGCTATTGCAGCTAGAAGGGCTGCGGTTGCAGCTAGTGTGAATACAACCACAGCTACAGTATTGAACAAATAGACATCTCACTATAGGAGAATGGTTGTTTTTTCTATAGTCAATATAGGGATACGAATAAATTTGTAATTTGTTTGAATAGTATTCAAAATAGAAACTTTGACTTTAACCTCATAATCGAATATATTCTGTGACATAACTGTGTACATCCATATGACAGAGTAATGGAAACCATCTGCATAATTACTATTTCACTCAACTTCCTCATCGTGTTACGACTGACAAGAACCGGAAAATGTGTATCCTTGAAATTGCAATGTCTTGAAGAGAAGAACAAATTGATACGTATAACAGCAACATAACATACATTACACTTTATTTCATCTATCTGAGGCGATCCATCTTACAGTGGAGTGAAAGCAATAGGACCTACTTTATTTCAACTTTTGAAGCGCAAAATAAGAAATCTCTATTATGTATTATATTAACATCGTGCGTATCTGAGGAGAATAGGGAGAGAAGGAATAAGGTTTTTACTGGATTTTTTCGAACGTTATTTGTTCTCGGCAGTACTTACCTAGGCAAATAATTTCAAATCTCTGCCGTTTCATGAACAAAAGAGAATAGTTATGAACAGAGGAGGAACCAACTCAACAATATACAGGGTATTTCAGTAATATTCCACGAAACTTCAAGATGAGCTTTTTGGAATCGAAATACAAAGTTCACAAAATCTCATGTCCAGAAACGATTCGTGTTGAATTATCGAATGTTTTATTACCTATTTCGTTAAAACTATCTATAACCTTCCGACAAGTGGATGTGCATTCTACTCAGTGGCGTAACAAAATTCATAACGATGATACAATTCACGAATAGTAAATAAAAATAGAAGAACGAGCTGAACGAACTCTATTTTTCATTCATCCTATTTTACATATAACTTGACAAGATATTACTACGCATCCAAGACAAACGAACCTTTGAAATAAATATAAATGTCCTGAGTTTAGAATAAAACTCAACTTTTTTTAATAGAGATAAACAGAACCTTGGATAACTTCAAATTTAAACTAACTATATATAGGGTGAATCACGCACGCTTGTAGAAAAAATACCATTCGAATCCTATTCTCATAAGATCAATATTTTTGAGGTAAATTCGACATTGCCTCTTCTACTATATTATCTATTATTTTGTTATCGATGAAAATTTTGACGCGAAATCAGTGGGTCAGATAGTACTGTACAGGGTGGCCAACTAAGACTCCAGAGTTCGATTTCTCTGTTGTCTTGAGAGATACAAAAAAAAGGCATGTTTCAAAATTGAAGTAATAACCGAGCTTCACATTTCAACATTTCTATGAAATACACAGGGTGTTCCGTAAGGTCACAGCACATCAAAGCTATGTTTTTTCCATAGGAACACCCTATATTTTATTTCATTTTTGAATTCTCCCTGAAGATCTGATTTCAACGACGTATCATACTTAGGGTCTAGCAGTGAAAGTTACTGACATATAGGGTGTGCAAAATCGATATTTTCCAAGTTCAGGATTTTTTTCTGTCGAAACTGTTCATTATTCGTCAAAACGGTTTACATGTCCCTATCCCAACTTTTCACTCACTATCAATTGGTGTTTAATTGAAATTGATACAAAGTGGTCAAAAAATCTAAATTTAAAATTTGTTTCAATTAAATGTCAATTGAACACCAATTGATAGTGAGTGAAAAGTTGAGATAGGGACATGTAAACCGTTATGACGAATAATGAACAGTTTTGACAGAAAAAAATCCTGAACTTGGAAAATCTCGATTTTGCACAGTAACTTTCACTGCTAGACCCTAAGTATGATACGTCGTTGAAATCAGATCTTCAGGGAGAATTCAAAAATGAAATAAAATATAGGGTGTTCCTATGGAAAAAACATAGCTTTGATGTGCTGTGACCTTACGGAACACCCTGTGTATTTCAAAGAAACTTTGAAATGTGAAGCTCGGTTATCACTTCAATTTGAATGCGAAACTTTTTTTTGTATCTCTCAAGACAACAGAGGTATCGAACTCTGGATTCTTAGTTGGCCACCCTGTACAATGAGGTATCGTAACAACCCTTATCCCTATTCAAAATCTAGGGGTTGCGCTTCCCCCTGGTAGGGGGTCTAAGTTACGGAGATGAAGAAAGCAGACAAATCGTTCTCCCTCGAATTAGAAATCGACTAGCCCTAAACTAGGGGTGAAAGTTTTCGTTGGACCACCTGTAGGCATATGGAAAATTGTTCAATTGCCATTGCTGCCTGAACACCAAATAACTCCTCGAATAACTCTCACTGTCAAACAGACAATGCGACAGTTTATGGACCGTTTATATTCAATGCAGATGACCAATACGGAAATCGACACAATAACTCGTGTGCATTGAAAAAGTTGAACGACCCCCCGACATAATTCGATCGCGATTGAATCCAGCCTCAGCCTACAAAATGTTAGATTATGGCTCGGGTGAGGCTTCCGGTGACATTTCGGCTGTTTCACACCTCAAGGGTTCGCGAATTTCTGACCTTTGTTTCGGATTTTCATATCGCACTGTCTGCTGCTTATGAGCTTTCGATGGTTATATCTATCGTGAACAGATTCTTAGGCCATCACCTTTTGTCCACACCTGAATTCTATTGAACAATTTCTCACGTGACTGGTGCCAAAACTTCGAGCTTCAGGGTGACTTCATAAAAACTTTTAGCATTTAAAATTTAGCATTTGAACATTTGAGACTTAAGAGTCTTAAGAGGTACTGTCTGTAGGTTAATCTAGGAGGTGGTACATTCATTTTACTTGGTTCTTTGGGATTTTCTCTCCTCGTTTCTATAAAATAAAAGTATTCGTATTATTTCAATATATTTGTAGAGGGACAAATCAGATGATTTGCCCCAAAATGTCACTGCGTTTAACAAATTTTTCTATCAGGGAGTCTAAAAGAAAAATCCAGTGGCTTGTCAGTGACAATTTGTTTGAAAAAATTTTCGAAGGAAAGAAATATAGATATATTGAAAAAATATCGAATTTGTACTTATCTTTGGACGTTTCGGGACCTATTCTGCTCCCGTTCTCAACATGTAAATGCAAATTATTTTTCTTTGAAAGTTGTGCTGCGTATAGTTTGACACTTTTCAGTGTCATACTGATGTTGGCATATCAATGAGTGATTTTAGTCTACAAATGAGTTACAGGATGTTTTCATTAATTGATCTTGAATCTACCATTTTCATGTTCAGTTTTCAGTAGTGAATACCATGTTCTATCAATATCAACTGTTGAAATGCAATGTTAGAATATCAACTACCGAAGTGAGTACTCTTTTCCAGGATATACAGGGTGTTTCATAATTGAATGTCAATATTCGAGGACTCGATTCTTGGGCCCATAACTTATAATTCCAAAATACCGAATTATGAATTGTATTTCTGGAATTTGATCTAAAAAATAAAATGTATTTCTCTACATTGTGATATTGTCATATTAACGATATTACTATATTCATGTAGTGAAAAGTTTTTTTTGAGCGAAAACCTTGCATCTGATTGAAAAAATTGTAGTAATCAAATTTGCTCAGGAATGATTGAGAATTTCAGGAATGATGTCAATTTCGAGATTAATCAGTGGCGTACCATCAATGTCTGCCAAAATAGGTATCTAAAATTCCATACGACACCACTGGTGGGAACCAAGAAAAATGTGGTACACGATCTGATGCCTCTTGATACATAGTACATGTATGCCAAATTCCATTAGAATATCTGAGCTGGTATTACAGATATTAATAAAAACCTATTAATGTAAGAGACTTTCCCACCCTGTATCTCAAAAGTTAGGACGTTTAGGTCATACGTTCATATGAACCTTTCTTCTGGGCCCAAGAATCGGCTTCCCAAATATTGACATCCAATTATGAAACACCCTGTATAGGTGAACTGTTGATGGCTTTTATTTTGCCAGTTCCGAAAAATAAGCCTATAGAACCGTCTCCGAGAAAGACACGGACACAGAATTGAATTCGATTACTTCAAAAGGTTTCCATAGCAACAATGAATATGCCTACTGTACTACCAGTAAAAAATTTCAAATTTCAATGTATTATCTTTCCATCAGTATTGATTATTCCATTTTACTGTCATAGAAAAAATAGTAGATTGTTTTATTAGGATCAAAAGTGACAAAGTCACGTTTTATCCGAATGAAATATTCTATTTTTTCTGAAACCGAAACAATTAACTCAAATAAATATATGTATGCAATGCAACAAATAATACGTGTGGTGGGAATATTCTAACTATATCCACAGCAGATTTATAAAATTTTCAAGGATGATCTAGTTGTAGTTTCAATATAAAACAACCACAGAGTGACATATTTGTGTATGGACCAGGTGCTCTAATGGCAAATACTGCGCCAGTGCCAGGTATAGGAAGAAGACGTGGAAAATGTTATTTTAGTGAGCATATCAACAAAAATAATTGAAATTATCCATCCCGAGAATAACGATAATGAAATACAGATCAAGCAAGAGAGATCAAAATATTTATCTTGGATTTCTATCTAAGTGAAGTGAAGCTGTCAACAAATTAAGCCTCAACTAATTTAATTCATGAATTTGCAATGTGTGAAGGAGGAAACACAATTTGCGTTCAATAAGTTATAATAATGCGGTATTTTGGTAAATTTTGATCAGCAATAACTCAACTATTTTGCATCCAAATATGCAACTCATATATATTTTTGGAATCAGAAGAAACAGGCTCTATCGACATGTCGAAAATTATATAGGGTGTTCCATTGAAAAAATCAAAGTTACAATAATACGATACAATACATTTATTTCCATAGACTTCACAGTATTGGATAATGTCAAAAATAAGTACCCTAATTGAATTAAAAATCAAGGAACTTCAAAAAGTAGACACACAGTAGATATATAAATAATTTGCCAAAAACAAATGACGGAACATACAAACAAAAAGTAGTGAAGACATCATTACATTAGATGCGAGGTTAGAGACGTTGCAATTGAAAAAATCATTAATAGAATAAAATTAATTTTTGATTAAAATATCTTTGGAGGTATTTTTGAATTTAAGATTATTTGATATTTTCT